ATGTTGGTGACAACTTATCCGGTTGTTCAGTCTGACGTCACTAGGCGTGTCTGGACCTAAACTCCGCTGCAGGTCCATATATCAAACCATCACTACGGCATTTCTGAGAGTTGAAAAACTGTCTAAAGTCTTTCATCTTTAATAAAATGATCAGCGTTCTGCTCTACCAGGTGTAACAATTGAGTTTAACATCCAGGCATCCATGAAAACGGAATTTATGACATTTAACGGAGTTAGAAGTTAGCAGAAAGTTAGCTCGCTAGCTTCTATCTAAATACAATATAGCATGTCTTGACTGCGGGGTTTTGGAAACAAATTCAAACGTACAGCTCTGTTATCACTTCCAACATAAATGAAGACAGAAAACTAAAAAGCAGTGACGTTTGTAGGGTTACTGAAGTTGGGCTGGCTGGTATATAATGATGTGCTACGTGATCGCTAGCGACACAGCTATGTTAGCATAACATAAACAAGCTAACTTTTTTTCCACTCGATAAAAGTTAACGTGAGTGTTTTCGGTGGTCAGGAACAAATGTAATCGCATGGCAGGATGCTGTAAAAGGACCAAACTTCAGCCAGGAGAACAACTGAGATAATCCATCCACAATACGAGGTTAGTCATTCATATACTGCTGCATGGGCTGAGCTGTAGTTACATCCTAAGGTTTTAAAAACTGAGCTTAAATAAATGATTAGCGGTAATAAAAGCCGAGGGAGGTCAACAGGGATCACTGACTGTTTTAGGAGCTTTTTGAGATTAAATAGAAGAAAATACAAAACATTAAACATGTTAACAACACAAAAGCCATATTAAACGCAGACTACTTTAGGCCCGGAAGTAGGATTCGTCGCGTCATCACTGAACAATCGGATTGAAACAATTATGCTGGGTTAACTTTCCGGTAAGTGGCTTCCTGTTGTTCCCCAGTTCACCTTCTTTTTCCTCCCCGACAGAAACCGAGACACAAGATCAGTTCCGCCCTCCAGTCTGTCACTTTTTTGCCTCAGGGCTCTCCACCTCCAACTCAGTTTGACTTGACATTATGTATCAGATAAAGTCTCATATTTTGGCATTACAGTTTTACAGTTATACAGTTTTAAAGGTCCTTAAATGAGCTTTAAATAGCTTACTATAGATAGCATAGATAATATTGTCTTAACAGATTATATTTCTGCAGTTTGAGAATTTTGTGTCCATCTTTGTCTCACAAAAGCAGGTGTGTCTATGACGTTAAGTGTGACTGACTTAGTTTTAATGTCTGAGGTTTTAGAGACATGGTGAAGGATCTAGTTTCTAAGTCATTACTGCTAATCAGAGTCTGCTGGATCAATGACTGGCCGCGTTCTTCTGTCACAAAAGCAGGTTTGAACCACACACAGTGAGGATACCAGAATGCAGGACGGAATTCAATCAAGTTTATTGCCACCTTTGTGACACATGACATATTTTCCATTTCTTCCAGATCAATATGGGAATACTATGGAATATTAAATATGCAGTGCACATTGTTTTAACTGCAGTTTGCAGTTAAAACAATGTCTGCAGACCTTACCAATCTGTTCCACATAGCAGATAGAAAGGAAGCATGGGCCCAACAGCACAGTTATATATAAAACAGTGGAAAAACATTATAGAACTCCTTCAAAAAAGAAATCCAATGCAGTGTGGCAAAAATATTTTGTTTGTTCATGGTCAGCTTCGTATTAAATTTGGAGCAAGTACAAACAAAATGTAGTAAAGATGACCACTCGAAGAAAATATGCAAGTTTCCCTTCACATTTGTGATATAGGGTTACATACCTGGCAAGAGGAGACAGCATCATCAACTCAACAGTAATTGCAAAGGTTAATACTCAAATTTTGTACAATGTTCTCATTTAATTGATTGAAAGCAGTCTTGGTGATGATTTGGTCATTTTTAAGGTTTATAAGGCATCTTGCTGCAGAGTAAAGATTATTAAAGTTTTACTTCATGAAACTCATTTGAACTTTATACTGTCACTTCAAAAGCAATGCCAGAACACAGTCTGGATGCCAATCCAACAGAAAAGTTATGCTGGAAACGAAATATAATCCAGTTTATTTAAACTTTGATTACATAACTCCAAATCGCAATAATAGTCACCTCACGGTGTGTGATGGGTCGGGTTGAAAGACAGGAGTCGCCCCAGGAATTATTAGAAAAATATAGTTTTCATTTATTTAACCCCAAAAAATTATATTTACAAAAGTAATAAATGTTGAGCTCATAAAAGAGGTCAAAGAAACAAAACTGAAGTCAAGCAAAGACTGCAACCTTAACAAAGCAAATGACTGCCCAAACATACATAATTGACCTAAACATGAAATGACATACAAGGCTATATATAATGGCTGATCAGACCATTGTGACACATGAGGGGTAACAAACAAAACACAATCATAAATCACAAAAGATGCAGTACAATCTAGTTTGTTAAACTAAACACCAAAGAAGAAAGTCAAAAGCCATTAAACCCTAAACTCAAATATTTAATTAAATACAAATACTTTCTTTTTAAATTAAAGAAAACACACATTCTCCCCTTCATCAGGAAGTGGTGGTGTGGTCCAATTATCCCCCTTTGCATTTAATGGTTTCAAACCCTGGCTACCATCTTTTGTCCAGCATCTTCCAGGGATGATGGCGGGTAAGAAATAAAAAGAGAAAGGTTAGTCAAAAATCAAAGTAATGAGGTGGTATGAATGCATAAGTAAACTAAATGTGTGCACTTAGAAATAGAACAAATGTATACAAACCAATCAATAAAGTTATTGGAAACTAAAGTGTGTTAATGTGTTAAAATGAAGAAATGAAAATACAAGAGTTACCAACTTTAGAGTGTGGCCACGGGTTTGGCCATCACACGGTGTTTTCATACCATTTTAATACAATGCTCCAGCCTGCAAAGTTGATTTATTAATGCATATGTACTGCAGAGTCCTACTCTGGATGTTTCCAACACTGAAAATAAAACTGAACAAATTAGCCACGAGTGTGTTTAACTATTCCTCATAAACATGAACAATTTTTGCCTGACTTCTTTGATCTGCATCTCATAATTAACAGCATTCATTGCTGGAGTAACCTAATGGAGGCTAACAATGGAGAAGCAATGGAGTATGATAGTGACAGTGCCTGACACAAACATGATGACCTACATAGCCAGTTGGTCTGGATGGTGGAGTATCTCAGAGATCAAAGCCTTGATCATGAGAACAGTGTGAGAGGCGCTTGCATGTAATTGAACACACGAGGCCTGAATGACAATACAGTGGTCACACTGATCTCACCTGAGAATAAATGTGTCACTTAGCCTTTGGGAAATTATTGTTGTGGCCCCGAACACAGAATTAATAATTTGGCATGCATCTTCCTTTCAGGGCGGTGGGCCATCTTGAAGAGCCATTGGACTCCGGCTGTACAAGCACTGACAGCAGCCCATTGTTCATTTTCATGACTGACACCGGAATGCCCGATCAAATCTCTGAATGCAACTGGCCCCTCTCCTACCATCACTGTGTGCTCAAGCAGCTCGTAGGAAAGGTTTAGTGTGGTGAGAAGGTGGAGCTAAAAACCTGAGAGAAAACAATAAAAAAGAAACTTACGATAGATGCAACAAAGTGTGTCAAATTAATGACATGTTGGCTGCCAGTTCTGCTTCACCATGAACAGTAGTACCAGCAACAGCTAGTAACCAAGTCTCACAGTCACAGGAGGCTTCTGCTAGTATCTGCTTTGGGGAAGGGAGGGAGAGATAGGAGAAGGTGAAATTCAATTGGTATGAAACTAGATGGAGGGAAATAATAAGCAGTGATGTGCGATACCACTGGTTTCTTTTTCCAGTCTAATGAAGTAAAATTCAGGCTGGTATTGACAAAATTGATCCTCTACTGATTCTACATTCTGTTGTTTTTGTGGTACAACAACAACAAAGAAACAGCTGGCACTTAACAGTGTACACTGCATTACTCTGTTTGTGTCAGGGGACACAATCCTACATGTGTGGACCAGTTTTTGGTGAAGAATGTTTTGGGGTTTAAAAGCCACATACACCCGTTTTTTAGAGAAAATGTATCTCACTGTTACGGTTCGGCGTTGGCAGTGTATTGTTTTAGGCGTTTTGTTTTGGCGTGACTGTAATGCGTTTCCTGTTTTACTTTGAAAGTCTGTGTTGTCTTAGTGTGTTCAGTTTACGTGTCCCTGTCTCGTCAGTGTAAGGGTTGCCCCAGCTGTGTTTCCCTCTTGTTGTCCATTTCCTGATTGCTCCCTCTAGGTATTTAAACCCTGTGTTTCAGTGTGTCAGGGTTGCGATCTTCCCCCCGTTGTAAATAGTTTGGCGCCTTGTGTTGTGATGTAAATAAATATCGTATTTTGCTTTAAAGAAAATAGTTGTTGATATTTTTGTTTTGGGATTTTGGTGGAGAGCCTTCGTGGTTTTATTTTCCTTATTTCTGTTTTTCTACGTTGCACCCCGGTTGCCTAGGCCGGGGTGTAACACTCACCTATTCCAAGGTTGGAATTTCCTTACCTGGGTGACTGAACATACATCAAGATATTTAACTTTTATGCTGAAGGCAAGCAGTCTTTGTGTCCAGTTTTCATCACACTCTTCAAAGTTTCACAAGAAAATAGTAAGTGTTTATGGAGAAGTTAGCATTTTCAATGCAAGGTTAGGATGAGAGGGTTAATGTGCTACAGATCAAACAAATTGCACGGAGGTATCGGGCGCAACACCACAAATGTCTTCATGGCAGCATCTCCCTGCAACCACTGGTTGTCAGGCAGACACCAACTGGTGTCTGGTGTGACTGAGGCCTTACCTGCATTATATTGAGGGGAATGCAGATGTCTGAGGTGAACTGCTGTGATGTATGTATTTAGTAAAATACACAAAGGAAATCGGGATATGAGAAATAAAACAATGAAAGGCAGAAAAACGTACTGTAAATATATTTATTTATTTATTGAGAATATGAATCATTTCCTGTCAGTCACAGTCACTGTATTCCTCGTGAACATGATGAACATTTTTTGTCGGACTGCTTTGATCTGCATCCCATAGATAACAGCATTCAGTGCTGGAGGAACCACATGGAACATCATGGAGGCTAACTTCCTTTGGTCTGTCAAATGTGGGAAGCGATGGAGGAGCACCATGACAATGCATGACAAAAACATGATGACATACATAGTCAGGTGGGTGGTGTAGGTCTGGAGCGCCCGGCTGTTCAGTGTCTTGCTCTTGCTGCTCAGACACACCATGGCGATCCTCAGGTAGGTGATAGTGACGCTGCCAATGGAGGAGCCCATCAGAAGGACAGTGTAGCCGAGACCGTAAATGTTATTGATGAGGATGTTTTCACAGGAGAGCTTAAACAAAGAGGCATTGTCACAGAAAGGGTTAAATATGATCCACCTGCAGCGTGACAGGCGAACGCTGAGGCCCACGAGGATTGTCACCATAATGAAGATTACTGCCCAGGCCAAGACCGACAGCTTCACCACCATCCAGTTGGTCATGATGGTGGCGTACTGCAGCGGGTTGCAGATTGCCACATAGCGATCAAAAGCCATGATCATGAGTATAGTGTGAGAGGCACCTGTATAAATGTGAACACAAAAGGCCTGAATGACACAGTCTACATAGTGGATGTACCGATCTGAGCTGGGAATAAAAATATCCCTCAGCATACGTGGAATGATTGTTGTGGCTCCAAATACATCATTAATGCTCATGTTACAGAAGAGCAGATACATGGGCTGGTGGAGGCTACTATCCAGCGTGATCAGGATCACCAGGACAATGTTGGAAAACATGATGAAGATATAGATGAGGAGGAGGAGGATGAAAGCAGGAATGGAGGCATCTGGGCTGACCTGTAAACCTTCTAAGAGCAGGATATCTGAAGTCTGGTTTTCCATAGTTCAGAAGGTTAATTTCAACCTGGAGAGAAGACAAAAAAACATGTTTATTTTCAAACTTTAAAGGGATTTTATAGTGTCTTTGAAAGATACTATTCTCTTGAAGAAAAAAAGACTGTGGTAGTATTTTAGCTACCACAGGTCTTTGGTCTGTGCCATACCTTTTTGGATTTAGACTGTTTTATTTAGTAATTCTTGATCTCTTTAAAATTCTATTGGTTTCACAACATTCTCTTGGCAGTTTTGATTGACCCACCCTCATTAGTTTCCCCTGAGCTTAATCTGCCACACATCCCAAATCATATGATCAGTTTCCTCAGTTTGTTTAAACCTCTCACTGGCTTTATTCGGATCTTTTCAATTGTTGTGCTGGCTTTTTTTCTTCCACATTTGCATTTTCCCATCTGTCTTGTCGGTGGAGAGTGTAGAAATTGCCACTTTGTGACATTTTTTCAGTGCGTTTGTGAGGCCTGCTTGAATTAAAGATTTGGGATAGGGATTTTATTTCTGTTCCTTGGTGATGCATTATACATGCTTCCCTTAGGCAGTGTCATCAGAAGACATAGCATACATTTTCACTGCTATGCAGATGACACCCAGCTCTATCTGTCCATGAACCCAGATAACACACAGACATTCCTGAGTTAAACTGCAGGAATGTCTTAAAGACATAAAGACCTGGATGGCCGCTAACTTTCTGCTTCTTAATTCAGATCAAACTGAGGTTATTGTACTCGGCCCTGAAAAGCTTAGAAATATGGTATCTAACCAGATTTATACTCTGGATGGCATTACCTTGGCCTCCAGTAACGCTGTGAGGAACCTTGGAGTCATTTTTGACCTTCAATGCACATATTAAACAAATATGTAGGACTGCTTTCTTCCATAAATATCTATTAGAAACATTGTATCTGAGAGTGATTAAAAACTAGCTCATTATTAAGCTCATTATTACTTCTAGGCTGGACTACTGTAATTCATTAGCGTCATGCTCCTGGGCCTGGAGACACAGTGTTTTGTGTTATCATTATTTGCATTCTGTAATTTAGTGGGTTTTAATGGTTTAGTTTTGTATTTCTAGTTCCAGTAGTCATTCTTTATTGTTGTTTGTTGTTTTCTGGTCTGTAGGTTATGTTACTTTGCCTGCTTTGTTTCTCTTGTGTTACTTCTAGTCATCCTTGTCTCTATGTTGGTGTGTTTCCTGTTTTACTTTAACCGTGTCAGTGTATTCTGTTTTGCTTCCTCCTGGTCTCATCGTGTCTGATTAGTCACAGCTGTGATCCCCTCCTGTTTGCTATCTCCTCGTTTACCTCTGTGTGCATATATAGTGTATATTTCTCTCTGTTCCTTGTTGCACCGTGTGCATATCTTCATCCGTGTTGCCTCTGCATTTCCTCCATCAGCTTACCCCCTCTCTGGTCTCAGTCCTCAGGTTCAGTGTTATTGTTGGCTTTCCCCAGTCAAGGTTTCTGTTAGTTTTCTCACTTCCTCCTGTTTCAGTGTATTGCAGCCAGAAATAAAAGCTCACCTTTCATTATCATCCAACGTCGTCTCTGTGCCTGCATTTGGGTCCCCAATCTCTTCACACCATGCCGTCTGCTTCGGCAGGCGTGACAGTATCAGGAAGTCCTAAAAACTCCCTGAAAAGCCCAAAGTTAATCCAAAATGCTGCAGCAAGAGTCCTGAAAGGCACTAGAAAGAGAGAGAAGATTTCTCCTATATTGTTTTCTCTTCATTGGCTCCCTGTTAAATCCAGCGTCAAATTTAAAATCCTGCCTCTTTGCCTATAAGATCTTGAATAATCAGGTCCCATCTTGTCTTATGGACTTGCAGTATCATATTACACTATTAGAAAACTTCACTTTCCTATTTAAAAATAGAGAGAGAGGCAGAGCCTTCAGTTTTCAGGCCCCTCTCCTATTTAACAAGTTTCCAGTTTGATTTCGGGAGACAGACACTATCTCTATGTTTAAGATTAGGCTTAAAACTTTCCTTTTTGATAAAAAGGAATGTAATCATTACATGGGTCTTTTTTTTTGTCTCCCACTTCTCACTCCCAACTGGTCACAGTGCGAAATGAGCTGAATATTCTCCACCAAGATGAGCACATCTTTTTAAATAAGGCCGTCTTGAAAAATGTAGCTTTTTGCTTTTTGTATTTAACCCAAAATGAAAGTGAAAATGCATCACACAACACTGCAGCTCCAGCCAAAAAGAAAGGGATGAAGAAAAATGTAATTTAAATTTTACATTTCTGTTTAGGTAATAGAAATGTGAGATTCATCAGGGAAACACAATGACATTAGATACCACTGATAAACAACAGACCCAACTACTCTCTGCGGTTTCAAGGGATCTTCCAGAAATGGTAACCTGATGTTCCCCTGATGAGTCATCATCAGGTACAAACTTGATTTCAAAACTCGGTAAAAGAAACTATATTTTATTGCCACTGTTTATGCAAGATCACGAATAAATTAAAAAGTGTAATCGAAACTTTAAACATGTGATGCTTTTCCACTTCTTTTGTTTTTTTTACAAGCACAATTTCTAAAGCTTGTTGTAGCAGTAGGAAATGAACAAATGTTCCTCTGGTGATAGAATTAGAATTCCTGAATTGAAGTTTCCTCATGTTGAGTTTTAGTTTGTTCATTGAAATTTCATTCCAAGTGTTCTCTTTTTTTTTTCAGCAGTATAAAGATTATAACGTGCACAGCAAAGGAAATTAGATTTAAAGTGCTCAAATGGAAAATTAATCCTTTTTACATCCACCAGATCCCCATTAACCTTTCAAGGGTTAGGGTGAGGTTTTGTTTTAGTTGCTTACTAACCAGACAGACTTTCAGACATTTTAAAAATTTTGGCTATTACTACTATCAGTAGATCACACACTGCAGTGTTAACCAAAATCAACTCCTAACTAATACCTCTGGGCAGGTCAACCACCTAAAATTGTTATTAATAAAAAACAAACAAACAAAAAAACAATCAGCCTAACACTCTAGTCTTTGTTTACCTGTTGTTTACTCCTAAAACCACATTTTCCTGATAGTTCGAACCACCAGCATTAAGATTTTAATCAACACTATATAAACTACATACATATATAAATCAGAGAGCAAAGAAAGGCCATCCAACAACGAATTAGTGACATGAAGTCTTAACTCCACCAAATGCAACACAAATAAAACCCAGCAAAGGCTACAGCCATTTTAGTCTATAGTAAGATCATGTGTGTGTTTGTGTCTCATACTCACCTCAGTTGACGTGAACCTCCTGATATCACACCTGAGGCTTGGCTGACACGTTTTTTATAATGTGAACATGTTCCCTGATGCTGATGGTTTGTCGCGTGAGTAAACAGTAAGACCTCCCCGGATGGCTGAACTCCTCACCCTATCTCTAAGGGAGATGCCAGCCCCCCATTTCCGCCACTTGTGTCCGTGATTCCATTCTTTCGGTCACTACCCACAGCTCGTGAGCATAGGTGAGGGTAGGGGATGTAGATCGACCAGTAAATTGAGAGTGCCCCCTTTTACACTCAACTCTCTCTTTACTACAACAGACCAGTGCAGCCTCCGCATCACTGCAGCCACAGCACTTAGGCCACCCAAGTGAAAGCCTTCTGCCACTTAGCTATGCCTAGAAATTCTGTTCATAAAAATTACGAAGAGAATCTATGACAAAGGGCAGCCCTGGCAGAGCTCATCACCGACCGGTAACAAGTCCAACTCATTGGTGGCTATACGGACCAAGCTCTTCCAATTGTTGTATAAGGATCACATGTCCAGACACCCGATACTCCTGAAGCACCTCCCACAGGAAACTCAGAGTGACATGGTCAAATGCCTTCTCCAAGTCCACAAAACACATGTAGACTGTTTGGGCAAACTCCACTGCGCCCTCAGGTATCATCGAGAGGATAAAGAGCTTATCCAGTCTTCCATGATAAGGGCAAAAACTTCATTGTTCCTCCTGTATCCAAGGTTCGATTAATGGACGGACTCTCCCTTCCAGCACTCTGGCATAAACTTTCCCAGGAAGGCTGAGGAGTGTGATCCCCCTATAGTTGGAACATGCCCTCTGGTCCCCTTTCTTAAAGATGGAAACCTGCACAGCGATGGGAGGCTGTAGCTCAGGTAGTAGAGCGGGGCACCAACTAACCAGAGGGTTGTTGGTTTGATCCCAGTCTGCTCCACTCTGCATGCCAAATATCCTGAATATGAAGCTCTGGCAGAGGTGTGAGTTGAAGATCTCATGTACCAGGCCTCCGAGATGCATTCCCAGCGCACCCTCACTATACATTTAATCTGTCAGTAACATTTGTTATTTATCATTTACTGTTAGTTATGTACATGTTGGTTTGCTGAGGTTTCCCTGCTGTATTGTTTGTTGCCTTTTTTCAGCAGGTGGTCTAGCAGATTTTTACTATTTTTTCTCTCTCTCCTCATAAATGGTAAATGGGTTGATTCTTAAATACCACTTGCCTACTCTACTTGAGCACTCAAAGTGCTTTACACAAGTTGCCTCATTCAAGTGCTTTCTTCAATGATATTTCTGTTGTTGGGATTAAATAACTTGCAGTGCCTCAATAATGTTATGCTTTTTTTATTAATAAGTGTTATAAAGTGACCATCTCTAGTGAAAAGTTACTGAGACGCTGTTGTTTAGACTCGAATGAGCGAGCTTCTGTAATAAAACTGTTAGAGCCCCAGTTTGAGATCCATGCCATGCAGGACGCATCTCCCTTCTAGAAGTAATAAGGTGTTAAATGTTCTACTAAGCAGTGTTTTGTCTTCGGATGTCTCTGAGGAATCAAAAGAACTCGGTGAAGTGTTGATATTTACACTATCTAAGTGCTTTGTATCTAACATTCACACGCATCCATACTCTGATGGATGAATCTCAGATTAACTTGGGTTTAGTATCTTTCACAAGGATATTTGGCATGGAGATGGGTGAAGATGGAAATTGAAAAACAAACATGTAAATAGTAGGTA